GCTGCGGAGGGGCGGCTGCGGGCCCCGGGGGAGTGGGGCCGGGGCAGGGCCGGGGGCGTCCCCCGCGAGTGGGGCCGTGGGCCCGAGGGCTTTCTGAGGGCACAGAGCCCCCTGCGCGCCGGTGCTCTGCATCCCAGGCAGGGTACTGCTCGTCTGTAAAGAAACCGCCCCGAAATACGGCCCGCTTAGTGACATCGGTGCGGGGAAGAGAGGAGAATGAAAGTGGGATTGTGGAAAAGCAGAGAAAGTCTTCAAAGTTTCGCTTTTGGTGTTGACGCTGGTTAGCAGTGTTTTGGGAAAAGGCTCCCGTACAGGTGTTGGCATGCCAGAGTTTTCAGCGAAGGGTGCCAGATCTTGTGATGCCAGCATTTATCCATCTTCATGGTAGACTTTAAACGGTCACACTCAAAAAATAAGTTCTAGGTTCGTGTCATGATCTGTTTACAGGACTATAAAAGAAGGGGAAAAAATGCCAAACAAGTGACCTTTATTCAGATAAGGATATTGCATTCAAGTAATTCTCGCAATACCAAAGGGATCTGATTGCCAAACACTGAAATGAGGAAAAGCCAACATTTTTGCGTGTTTATGTTAAGTACAGCAAATGCATATGTTTCACTCTCATGTGTTACTTGCGTTGGCTTTTCTTTGTTTGTTGGTTTGGGATTTGTTATTTGTTTTTCCTTCCTTACAATAATTTATTTCTTGCATCTCAGTTCTTGAAGTGTTTGGGTTTTTTTGTCTGATCATAAGAGTTGGGCAGAATATGGATGACTTCTGCCTTCTCTTTCCTTTTTTATTTTTCAGTGTATTTTTTTTCCTATTTTCCAAAGAAATGTAACTTGGGATTTCAAAGTACTCATGGAATACTTGTTCTTTTAAGTTGCTATTTTATTATGAGTCCAGGACTGATTTTTTACATAGAATCATAGAATGGTTTAGGTTAGAAGGGACCTTGAAGATCATCGAGTTCCCCCCCCCTGCCCTGGGCAGGGCCACCTTCCCCCAGCCCAGGTGGCTCCAAGCCCCGTCCAACCTGGCCTTGAACACCTCCAGGGATGGGGCATCAACAACCTCTCTGGGCAACCTGTGCCAGTGCCTCACCACCCTCACATTGAAAAACTTCTTCCTAATGTTTAATCTAAACCTGCCCTTTTCCAGTTTAAAGCCATTCCCCCTCGTCCTGTCACTCCATGCCCCAGTAAAAGTCCCTCCCCAGCGCTCCTGTAGGCCCCCCTTAGGCACTGGAAGGCCGCAATAAGATCTCCCCGGAGCCTTCTCTTCTTCAGGCTGAACAGCCCCATAACATTTCTTGTTATGTCTCAATGTGTTTGATGGGCACACGCTGACTTGTAGACCTGCCAGCCTTCGCTTCTAGGTTGTGGTCGTTGATCCCTGTGAGAAGTTTACTTCCGTCTCCTGCTTTTCATTTGTGTTAAAACTTGTTAGTGCTGATATGGTATTTATAGGTGTATAGTTGTTGAGCTATTTTGATTGGTTTTCCTGGTAATTACTTATATTGCTTTTAGGGCTCGATCTTATCATTTTAGCTTGCATAAAATTGTCTGCCCTGGTCATGTGAGTAGTACTAGAACCCTGGAAATACTAAGTTACATTATTATTGCTTTAAACTTCCGTTCTGTTCCTGTGCAGACAGGTCTGGGATAGTTTGACATAGAGAAACATTAACTTTTTTGGGTTTGTATGTTGATGAAGAGGAGAGAGTATCCTCATTCTGCTTATATGTAACTGTTGTGGCAGAGCCAGAAGTCTGAGGCAAGACAATGCAAACCATTCAAAAACATTGGGGTTTTTTTTTGTTCATTACTAGATGTACTGCTTCCTGTTCAAGTCCGAGTTAATTGTGCAGCGTGGCTTGCAAGTTTAATTAGTTTTCTAGTGCTGATTTAGGTTAGTATTTCTAAGGCTATATTATGAAGCCAGGTACTCTTTGCATTGGAAAAGTGATGGATGTTCAGGACAAGATTCCCTTCAAGATACAGTCGAACCATCGCAGCAGGTGGTGGCTAGAGTAGAAAGAGAAGCAATTCACACCTTGCCATGAAAAGCAACACTCCTTTGGAGAGAAAAATCCTTGCTAGTGGTCTGTCACTGTATGCCCTCCAAATACTAAATGAACAGTCTAGGAGCCTCCTCCTAGTTAAGCCAGGGCTGTTAATTTCAGATAGTTAAGATGGGCTGGTTTTGAAACATTAGTAATTTGGTGTTTGGAAAAAATGATAGAAGGTGGAAATAAGTTACAGTAGTTGCAGTGAACTGTACAGGAGCTACAAGGTCCTGATTTCAGTCCTGGCTTTAAAACTGACTTGTGATTCTGATCTTGAGTGAGTCACTTGACTGCTGTATGAGTTTCTTATTTGTAAAGGAGGCGGGTGTCTGTGAGAAAATAGCAAAACAGCTTTTGCAAAGCTTCAGAATAGTGGAGAAAGAGCTAGAATATGAAAATACGAGTTTTCTCCCTTAACTGGCTTTTAAAAATTATCAAAGGATTTTACCACAGTGTGAAAACTGAAATGTGGATGTAAAACGCTTGCTAAATACTTCAGGTATTTGGATGGTACATTGTACAAAGTGAGCAAGAATCTGATTGGTCTTATGATAAACCTGCCAGGCTGTAATGAATCTTATGAAAATGTGAATAAGCTACAGCTAGGAGCATCTCTGTTTTAGTTCCTCAGTCCTAGGCTCTTTGTGAGAATTTCTTAGTGTGGTACTTGAGTGTTAAATTCTAGCATTTGGAAATGAAGCTGCCCGCTTTTTGCTAACAGTGTTCTAGAACATAATTTCAGTTATTATCTGAAGCAAGCTAGAACCATGTGCAATTATTGGATAGTTACAAATTGTATGCAGTGTCATCATTCCCAATAATTGTTGCACAATTGTATCCTATAATGCTAAAAGCTGTGCCAATTAGGTTGATCAAAATGTGATTTTAGCAATAGAATTAACCTGTATTCACTGACAGAGAATGGTCCCAGTAGCACTTTTCAAAATGTTTAAGCTGTTTACAGTATCTAAAGGGGGTGGGAAATTATGGAATCTCAAGAGTGGGGGAAGACTGCAGGGTAGGCTAACCAGTAGCTAGTATAAAATTAATAGTGAAATTCAGGTGCAGCTGATGAATGTGGTGACAGTTGATGTCAATCATCCAGCATTTGCTACTTTAGCAGAAGACAACTTAAGCTGAAGCTCTGGAATAGAGAGGAAAAGTGTGTCTTTGTTCTCTTTCATAAATAGTTGATATGAGAATGTTTTAGTAAATGAAAATGTGTTTGTGTAAATTCTGTATGTATCTAAGTTACTGTTCTTGTCCTGATTTCAGATGTATAATGGCTAAAGCACCCATGAATGTCTGGTGTAATCAAAACTACATACACTCTGAAGAATCTGTATGATTAAAAAAAAAAATGTTTTTCAATAGGTAGAACAGACTTGGAATCAGTCACTTAAGCAATTCTGCATTTTTCTAGGGAGGCAAACAAACAGCATGTAAGATGTCAAAAATGTTTAGAGTTTGGACATTGGACGTATGAATGTACAGGGAAGAGAAAATATCTGCATAGACCTTCGAGGACAGCTCAATTAGCGAAAATTCTTAAAGAAAAAGAAAAGCGACTATTACTGCAACAAAGGTAAGATTGGCAGAATGAAAATGGCTCGTTTATTAATTAAAAGATAATTTTGTATGTGGGTGGGAAAGATGGTGTCCTAGACCGTTTTCTGTCATCGTTTCTTCCAGACTGTGTGATGCTTGCTTAATATTAGAGCCATTTTATATGTTAGTGGAATATATACACTTGGGTCCCACAAAATTAAAATGTTGTTCATTAACACTTGCTCATCTGAAATATACAATTAAAACTTTTTTGGCCTGTCTGAAACAAAAAAGGGCACTAAGCTAAAGTTAAAATAATCGGAGCCTTTTTTTGTAGTGGAATGCTGCCTCCCAAATTCCTTGGTTACTTGCTTTCCTATGTTTGTGTGCTAGTACAAGCAGGTTGGTGTGAAAGCTGTAAATGTATTTATAAAAAAAGAAGCAATTCTTTCATTTCTGTTCAGGTTTGCTGTTAGACTGTGCAGTTAAAACCTGGGTTTCTGGGTATGACCTGACGGTGGATCTGTGCCTGCACAGCTCCTGTATATTGCTCACTATGAGCTGTAACAGTCAAACAGGTGAATGAGAGTTGAATTATCAGGAGTTTTTAACTCTTGAGCATAAAGTAAGAACATCTCACTGAATTGCATAATTATTTCCCTTTTTGACATTCGAGAAAGTGGAAGATACCTGCAGCTCGGAGTAAAATTCTGCATTTGTGTAATGTGACTTCCTTTCCACTTTGCTCTGAGTAGACTTTAATGCTTCCCCCAAGTTTAATAATTGTTTTAACAAGCAACTCCAGGTGAGAAAGAGAGAAATAATGTAGGACATTAGATTTCCATGAAATTCCTGTGTATGAGGGTCTCTGTTCTGCCATTGCAACTCACATTTAGTTACGTTAGCTGGAGAGTTGTTGCCTCAGCCCCACTGAGGGACAGTATCATTTACAGCCATTGCAGCTACAACTGTTGGATTTGGAAAAATATCCTGTGTCACTGCCACTTGCAGCTCAGTGTGTTGGCTGTAGGTCATTAGTGCTGCCCGGATGTGAGTTATGAAGAGTGTCCACACCTTTTGCTCTGCTGTCTTAATAGGGAAGGAAAATGGGTGGTAACCCGTGGCAGAGGTCTGATTTGACTTCGTCAGCTCTTTCAGCTGAGGCTGTGCTATGAATCAGTGCTGAAATACTGACTTACGTGGAAGCCCATTAGCTTGTGTTGAGTGACATAAAATGTTTGATTTTGAAATTAATTTAGATCCAATGAGTAATTCTGAAGAAATTGTAATCCCCTAGTATTGTAGATAAGAAATTGGGAGGGCTTAGGCTCTAAAACTTGCTCCCTTTGGAGACAGAGTTTGGAAGAGTTCTTCAAAGACTCAAGACCTCTAAGACAAAGACTGACTTTAAGACTCGGATTACTTCCTTGTTCCTTTCCTGCCCTATCGCTGCTGAATTCTGCAGGTTAACATTGGAGGATAGTGAATTGACGGTGGAATAGGTTGTTGCCTAGCCATTGTGCTGGAGTCTGTGTATGGGATAATTTTATATAGGAGTTACAGACCTGTCCCGTGTCTGTCATGAATGGAGTTTTTTGAGCTGTAAGTCAACAGCCCACAGTGTGAGGGGTATGCAGTATGAAAAGTCATCTCATAAAAGAAAGACGAAGTAATCGTTAGATGGGAATGGTTTTTAATCCTCATTAAATTGGGCTGGGTTCATACTGTTTATATGATCATAAGCTCTCTGAAGCTCCGTAACCGTGCCATGAGGCACCCGGTTCCTTAGATGCTGATGTTACACTTTCAAGGATGAAGCTTATTCTTCATGGAAAGAACAACTTCTGAGGACATGCTTTTAGTTTTTGCATAGCTTGCTTTGGAAGGTTATTTCTTGTCTGCAGAGAAGTTGGGTCTCCTACAGGTCTGCTTCAGAGTACTTGTATCATAATCTTTAAAAATGTAATAATGAATCATTAACCAGAAGGCAAACATAGTCTAATAAGATTAATATTTACTTTTTGACAACCACATTCAAGATTTTTCAGCATTAACTCATTTCAGCAGTTGTTCCAGGATCCTTCTATTTGCCCCGTGTTGACTCTAGGAATCTGATGGATGTTATGGAGGTTTTGCTTACTGGTGCCAGTAAAGCCAGCTGCTTGCCCATCCTGGAGTAGGAGTTGGGAGGGGAGGAAAGGGGAGAAAATGCTTATTCAATAACTTAGTGATGTTACTGTGAACCAAAACCAGGATGCCCGAGTCTTATTTATGGTTCTGAAGACAGTGTGGTGCCACAGGGAAGATGTCCGAGTGCCACGAATGAGATCTGTTTGATGTGCGGGGGGTCTCTCGGTTGTGGGGTTCCCTCGAGTAGCGAACTCCTATACTCACCCATGCGTTAAACGCTAGAGGGAGGCATAGACCCGTGTGTGCCACGGCAGCCCGGGTTACTCACTTGCTGAATTGGGTCCCTTCTTCTGAGAGGTACTTTGGGATCTAATTCTGTTTACTCGCAGTGGCTTCTCTTACCTGTGAAACACCTGCTTACCTATGGTAAGGGTATAAGGCCTTAATAATATAGATATTAACAGCATTCAGCAATACAGGAGGGTTCATAATTTGGTTCAATATTTGAAGATGAGTGAATCTTCCTCTTACCCACAGGAGATCGTGGGGAGTGTGGAAAACTTCTCTGTGTAAATCAAATATTTTCATACCACATATGTGAAAATACAAAAATTGAAAAATCACTTCTTTTTTTTTTCTGGCACACAAATGGCATTGAGTTCTTTTATTGAAAAACAGTATAGTTTACACTTAACACTTTTTGCTACTTTTTTCTGGAGTCTTTATCAGCACATATTGCTGTCTAATTTCTAAATTAAATATATTTGCAGTTTTTACTTTCATTTCTATGTATTTAAGATGACTTCCAGTAATAGGTTTCAGTTGAGGAGAAAGCATCCTGGTTCATGAAAGAATGTACAACTTCCTCATCTATCAGTGGCACATTAAGCATGCTGTAGGTATATGATGAGGGACTGCTTTAATCACACACATACATTCCAGGTTGAATTATGTTCTATATATCTGCAATACATTGAGAAGAGTATGTGACTGGTACATTTGACTGAAAGAATTTTATTTTCTTTCAAAAATAAAAATCCAGAAGTGAAGACTGTTGTTTAAAAAAAAAAAATCCCTTAGTGTTTTGTTAAAAGAAACTTTCTTCTGTCTCATTTACCACTAAAACCTTCTCTGAGTGTATGAATACATGGCAGTCTGAAAGACAAAGAGCTGGAAAGCATCAATATAAACAGATTGTTCTGTGTCTTTTTGTACTTGAAAGAAATGCATGGTGAAAGCTACAGATTAATGCAGTATTTTAACCATTGTTTCACTCAGTTCAATTATTGCTAGCTATGGTTGTACATGACTTTTGTATCCTTTTCTCCCATGACTTTCCCATCCCAAAATGTTGTTGTCCGTATACTATGAAGAAAAGAGTAAAGAAGAGTAAAGCATACTTAACACAGAAAATTAGAGGTGAATTGCTGGTTTCTTTTTCTTTCCTGATTTGTAGGTATTGTTGTTTTTCTGATTTGAATAGTAACTGAAAATATATGCCAAATGAACTTTGGGTGGTGCGGCGCTCTGCTGGTGGGAAGCCAGTTTTCTAATCTTAAACTCGGCTCCACTGTGCTGCTGTTTGATTAATGCCATAAGAAAATTAAATAAAGCCATTGTTTTTCCCCCCCTTTAATTAGCGCTGGAGAAAGTACTGCAGAAAGGAAGACCAAGAAAAAAAGGTATGTGGGGAATGATGACAAATCGTGGAGCTGTTTCAATGTGTGACCTTGCACTGGGTACGGCGGCAGGCAGTTTGGAAGGGGGATGTGGGTAATGTCAACATTGCAAATACAGTTTTGATTTTACTGCTTTTAGCCTGTTACAGGGAGTTCTATGACAGCCATTTTCAGAATTTTACTGCTCCCTGTCCAAAAACTCTTAAATTCTTTGTCCTTTGCTTTTCTCCCTACTGATTGTCCTATTTCTAGGTGATCTTGCTTTAATAATAAAAATCTTCCTATTTCTGCCTGAAAGTTCATCAAGTGTATTTTGAGAAATTGTGCAAGAATGGCATACTGTTTTCTAGCCTGTAATCACTCCACCTACCTGTCTTGTTCTTCCTTTTGTTGTTTTCATTTGCTTCTGATAGAAGCTTTCTCTGAAGCTTTGTCTAGAGAATTAAATAAAGCATCTAAAAAAAAAAAAAAAAACCCAACCCCAAAACCAAACAAAAACCCCATGATCCCAGACCAAAACAAAATTCAGGAAATAAACCTTCACACACAAACACCCCCCTTACTAATTTTAGCCAAGAGCCCTTTCTCTTTTGACATTATTTCTACTTCACTTTGCAGTAACGCGTGCTTGGGAATTCACTTCTGTCTTTATTAGCAAAACCCTGTCAGGAACAGCGAGAACCCTGCCTAGAATACTCCTGCTAATCATGTTATGAGCTTTACGTATGGGGGATGCCTGTACTGTAGTAGCCTCATTATCTCTTCACATTTAGTTGATTGTTCTCTGTCTCTGATCTTCTAAAAACAGTTTTTGGAAGATTTTTTTTTTTAAAGACTAGGCCTTGTTCTTTGTGTGGCACTCATTAAATAAGCCACAGCAGTTTTTTAAAACATGCCTTTATTTTAGGCTATCGTGTGGAATGTGGCTTTATTGGAATGCTTCTTGGTGAGTGTCTTCGTTCTATTACCAGAATATGTTTTATCAAAGTCTCTTTTCTCAGTAGTCTCCATTTATTGTTGGAGTTATTTGGGACTAATGAGTTCATAAATTAACTGATTTCTAAACAATGTAGCTCTTCCTGCCCCAGCTTTCTCGTATGCTGCAGTCTTCTACTTGGCATAATGTTTTTCAGAGTATTTGAGCTCTAAACCAATGCAAAAATGAAAAGAGCAAAAGGATTTATAGGGGAGGGGTGATTTGGTTACTTTTTCCTTAAAACTTTAAAACTCTTCTAGGTTTGAATTTTTATCCCGTTTTTATGTAAGCACTGAATCCATCAATATAAAATCCTTTCCAGATAGTTTTCTATTTATATTTCTATTATGATACAGGACGAATTAAATGCGAAAAATTCAGCAAAGGGTTACCATTGAATATACAAGTTCCAAGGCTGTTTTTCTTTTTTAAAAAAGGTGAAAGTTGGGGTTCTGGCAGTAGCGAGCACTAACCTTTTACATAGTGTATGTTTGTTTTGATATAAACAGTAATAAGTAAGCTACAGGCTTAACCAGAAAAACAGGAACAGGCAAAACAGCTGTTGTACAATATTGTGACCTCAGGTGACACCGAGCTGTCTTCTCAGTGCATGTTGGCTTCAGCGTTCCCATACAGCATACTTTGGTTATTAACTGAGAGCCCGTTTTATGCTTGGATCACATATAAATTTACCTGTCTGAAGGGTAGAATCGTGTCTTAATTACCTTGTCTCTTCAGGCATCCAGCTGTGATTGTGCCCAAAATCGTAGATTTTTATTTAAGTAGCATGTTTAAAATTACCTGGGGTTGTTAGATGATTGCAATAGAACTAGAAAAGACAAACAGTCTCAGAGAAGGGTGATAGCACGTGTTACAAAACGCAGCCGTCATTCCACAGTTGGTACATAGAGATCACATGAGATATTAACGCTTAAACTTGTTTTGAGGAGAATGAATGCTTGTCTGCTGGAGAAATTTTGTATTTTACAGTAGTGTAGTAGACCCCAAAATCTTAAGATCTACCAATCTATAGCATCAGGATTGTCGCATTACCTAATTAGGACAAGGTGAAGTAGGTGAATTTTACTTGCTCCCATCTCCATCCTCCCTCTGTGACTACCAACAGGCCACATCTTGCATCACCTGAAAACAAGTGCCTGCTTGTTTCTTCTCTCGTAGCCCGAGATACTGCTTTCCTCTGCGAGCAGCAGTATTAAGTGTTACATTCTGATGTTTCTGTGAGTGGATTTCAGATCATAACCTAAACATTGGAGGTCTGTGGACTGCTTCTATAGGTTCTATAAAAGGTGATTAGGAAAAGGAAGTTCGAAGTTACCATTCTGGCGATCCTCTGACTGATTCTTGCCCATATGAATGGGTCTGCACATCTAATGAAACTGTTGAGATCGAAACTACTGGTCCCATTTTTATTTTTTTTTTTTTTGCTTTCCTCATCTTCAAACTAGTTTTTCACAAACATGAAGTCTGTATTTAATCAGCCCTTATAGATTTATCTTTAATAAATGGCCATTGTATCTGTATGCGCAGAGATAACAGATTACAGAGACGTTATAAAAACTTTAGTGGTTTGTAGCTTAACGCACGCATCCAGATTTGTCAGCTGACATGACCATGGCTGATACGATAAAAAAACATTACTCTCTCTCTAATAGCCTTAACATAAGCATTTCCTGAGTTGTTATATTTAACCAAACCCTCTGATAAAAGCTACTACGTTAATTTTCTAATGGAAAGAAGATTCTGCATTATTATATCTAGCATTTTTGCATGCTGTTTGGTTGACTTGGTGGGAAGGGGGGTGAATTAGTAGCTCTACACTTTGTTTGGAGAAAGATCTATGGGAGAATTTAATTGTACTTTCTTGGAATTCATATTGCCTTACTTAATCAGAGACCTTGATCTTGAGAACAACAGCCTCAGTAAGGGCTAAATATGGAAAAAATTGTGGAGGATACAGAAATCCACTTTATGTTTGTAATTTTGTCTTTATCTTGGACTGTTTCCACCTCTTCTCCACCCCGAAAACATAAGCATCCTGTAGCGGCAGGTAGTTTGGATTCTTTTGCCAGGAGTAATCTAAGAACAATTTCCGTTGAGTACAATTCTGACATTTGTGAAATCACTGATGAAATTTCCACTGACTCTTACATTGCCAAAATTTCACTCCTTATTGCAGTGGTGTGCTAGGGAACTGATCTTTGTTAATTTTGCCCCAAGGCTTTAGTAGTGCAGGATATCCATACCTCTCCTGCAGCCTTGTTCTTTTATTGAGCCAAGTCAGTGAAGACACTCATCATTACTATGAGCAAGATCCTTGCCAGCTTTCAAAATTAACCTTTTTCTGTGGTCCTCTTTTGGCTTACTTCACATGCATGGTGTCGCTCTGCCGTTGCTCAAATGGCCAAAAGGCATTTGCTCAGAATTGGAGGTGGGGGGGTTCTCTTAGACTGTCAGGCCTGGAAATTTTCAGACCAAATAACTGATCTTTGGATTACAACACAGTATAAAGAACGGTGTGTAATGCATGCTGTCTCTAGCAGTCCTGCTCTCATCCATCTATGTGTTTTCTTTCAGATCTAAAAGCGTGACCAGTTCCAGCAGCAGTAGCAGTGCCAGCTCGGCTAGCGATTCCTCATCTGACAGTGAAGATTCTTCTACCTCTTCTTCTTCTGATGATAGTGACAGTGATGAGAGCTCCTCTACTTCCTCATCTTCTCCATCCTCGAGTAGCACTTCCTCTTCGTCAGAGTTCGAATCGGATTCTAGTTCCTCCAGCAGTAGCAGCAGCAGCAGCACAGACAGTAGTTCTGATGATGAGCCACCAAAGAAAAAGAAGAAGAAATAGCTTGGTGCAGTGTAGAACTGTTGTTTAGTGAATGATAACACTCTTCAAAGATGTTTTGAGCACGTGGTTGCCAAACAGTTTACCTGGTCAACATTTCTACTGCTAAAACTTTCTAAATGTTTTGCATAGTTGTTCATAGGACATGAAAGGTATTAAATGGCACGTGAGACTTACTGAAAGAGTATTTTTGTGGTTTATCCTTTTATGGAAAATTTTACTTTTTTAGTTCAAAAATCTATCATCAGATTTGTTTATATGAGCTAAGGTCCAGTAACCTGGATGTTTACATGCTGGAAAGCAAAAGCTTTTTGTTGCGGATCATGCTGTGCATCATATCCTACTACTCTGTTTATGACAGCTTCATTATATTGAGAAAATCCTCTAAAGTATTAGAAGCAAAAGTAAAAGTTTTACCCTGCTGGCTGTAGAGCACTGTCATTGTTGAAATCGAATGCACAATGTTGCACACAGAGGGCCTTCCATCTCACCGTTAACAAATGTATTATATGCTGCTGAGCTTTTTTTTTCTCATGGCTTTTCCTGATGCTTCCAGGTCGAGTCTTAACTGCAACATAAAATTTTAAATAGTGTTCATTTGTTAATGATCAATATACTACGTGTACTGTACAGAGGCTTTAGTCTTTTCAACTCGCCTGTTTCCTTAGCTCATGTATTTGTCGTATTTTCTGAGACACGGAGTGTCTCTTGCAGCAGTGTCTGTGTAAGAAAGAGGAGCAGTGCACGGTGGAAGAACAATGACTGATGCTGCTTAGGAGTTTCATCTTTGTGCCTTTTTTTGTAAATTAAATGTATCCTAGTGAGAGAAGGGCTTGAGTGGGTGTTTTTCAGAACTCCATTAGCTTTCCATGCAGAATATGGTCAGTAAAACCAGAGAACTAGTAGTAACAAACAAAAATGGGCGCTATGTCCGAGGAGAGAGGAAAAAGGCTATTTTCACTGGTTGCTCAGTAAGAAAAGGAGTCGCCTTTAAATAGAGGTCCCAAAGGAAAGTGTTTCCCTTTTGATATTTTTGCAAAAAAGTGTTGTGTAATGCAAGATTACCGATCTGTTTTGTTGGGCATATGGTGACTGGCATTATAGTCTGCCGTATAATCAGTCCATTATTTTACGTAACACTGTGTACGTGTCTGTGAAAATCTGGCATGGGAGAAGCAAGCTAGTGCAAAACAAAAAAACCTAACAAAAGCAAAATCCAAACACTGCAGAACAAGTATTGCTGGTTGCAAATTGAAAGTTATTTGTTCTTTTGGTGGACTGAAGCAGGTGGCATTAGTATTTTGATTTGTGATGCAGTCTCATAAATTTCTTATTGATGGAGTGCCCTTTTTTTGGGGAGGAGGCATCATCACATGTGGAAGAATTCTTAAATATCTTGGTTTAGGTAAAATATAGTAACTAAACTATTTTTTATATTTTTATGGAAAAAGTAGTGTGTAGAATTACTTTTGAATAAACTGTGCTTATTTAAATGTTTGAAAATCTGTATGTTGTGTGTTTTAGTCTGTAATCATTCCTGTGTTTTACAGAACACTCTGCAGACTGTAAATAAAATTACCAGAAAATTGTTGAAGTTGTCTTGAGTGAATGTACCATTTAATGGGAAAAGTTAATAAATTATTAAACAGTAGTTGCTAAGTTCTTGCTTACTGCAAATCCAAATGTGAGTGATACTGTAGTAGCAAAGCATGTGTGTGGAAGCCCTTTGGAATATCGAGGTTCGGCTGCCTCTGCCGCCCTGTTCTGACCAACTTGTATATTCGTTTCTTTAATGCTGCTGGCGTTTGTGCGTAAATGGTTTTGTCACTTCACACAAATATATTACTTCTCCCCATTAAGTTGTCTCTGACAAGAAAAGCGAAGTTTAAGGCTGTTAGACAACTACTTAAGTACTAAAGCTGGTCACCTTCAGGGGTTGCTCTCTTCCTACCTCTGTTCCTGTTTGGTGTCTACAGTCAGACAAATCAAAGACAGAAGGAGTTGCTTGTGTGTGGTGGGTTTGGTCAGCAGGAGCTCGGGTAAGGCGACATAATCACAGGTGACACTAAGGAGACCTTAATCTAACTTTTGGTCCACTGTTGGCTCATGAATGGAGATTCAGAGATGGCTTACTGCTTTCACTGGGTGTTTGCCCCTGCCCGCTGCTGATTAAGCCCCAGACCAACCATAAGTCCCCCTCTACTCGGATTTTTTTAAAGAATGTTTGATTTTGGAGGCAATATATTTCTTTGGGGGTTTTTATTTGCCCTTTCTGTTTGGTTTGTCACTATATATTCTTGTTTTACAGAGTGAAACCCACCAGCCTGTCAGGAGCCTTGTCTGTTCATCTTTCACTAGATCACATCCTGATTTCTTACTGGATGCTTTGATTCAAACTTTTCAACAGGGAAGGTATTTCTTTAATTACTGTCTTCCAAAGCTCTAGGTTAGGTACAAATGATCATTAATTATTTTATTTTTTTTTAAAAAAAGCACAAACTAGAAATTACTGTCTTTATTAAGCAGTGACATGAGACTGCTGTATCTCTGAACAGCCTCAATTTTAATCCTTTCAATTACAAGTAAAGCTGCCATCGCTAATTGAAGGGAAGCAATTGATGCATTCTAGTAGAAAAACAGCCTCGGGAAAAGGCATCGCCTTGCAAGGAGAAACACTGCGAACCGGTGGGAGAGCAGAAGGGAGAGACAACCTGATCTTCTAGTCCAGGCCTTTATTAAATCAAACATCTGTCAGGCAGGAACAGGTTTTTGGGTGCCCTCAGTGAGATTGCATTATACAGTCTCTTGTGGATTGATGGATGTATTTATTTTTTAGGGAGGGGTCCTTAATAAATAGGACTTGCTATCAAATGGATTTGATTTATAAAGAAATGATTCAACATACTTTAACCCCGTGGGTTTAATTTGCTTTATGAAATTATATTTATCTGAGCTCTGCCTTTAACCAGACATCGAAACACCAGTGGTGTCAGGGCAGATCTTCACAGCCTGATTTTGTTAATTAAGATATGTAAAGGGGGGTGTGTGTGTCGGGGGGGGGTAATACAAAATGTAATACCAGAATACGTTTGACTTCTGAGACTGGGTATGTCAAAAATGTCACTGGCAGAACATAATTTTAGAAGCATCATTGAAACCCCATAAGAACTGCGTATTTTTATTATTTCCTGGTCCTTTCTGTTATTTACAGCACAGCGTCGCTTTCTCAGAGAAGCCGCCGGTGCCTTCCCTGCCCGCAGGCAGGAGGGAAGCTGCAGCTGCGTTTGGGTCCCAGCTGGGTCAGGGTTCCAGCCCCGTTTGATTGTGGTTTGGTCATATTTTGGTGTCTCAACAAACTTCAGCTTTAACTGCCAGTTTAAATAGTTCAGAACTGTTTGAGATTGGCTATCAACTTAACACTGTTATCCTGTCTTTCTACAGCATTTTTGTATGAAGGGGCTCTGCAATCATAGTATCAGAGACTATGCTTTAAAAGAAAATTTAGATTCTGGTGTTTGTTACACTTACGCAAAAAGAAAAAAAGGAAAGGGTGGTTTTTTGCACTATTTTGCTGCACTTTAGTCGTGTATTTCAAACAAATAATAAAAGTATTACTTTTTAAAATGTGAATCCAAAGCAGAACTATGTTCTAGTACATTTTGAAATCGGTTTATGTGAAGAAGTAGTTTTTGTTTAAATTCAAAACATTTATCTATAATATCGTTGTAGGTTTTGCAGAAATAGCCTCTCGTGGAGATTATTGTTGGAAGTTTTGGTAATGTTGCCAGTGTAAGGGGGCGGTTGGTGTGGGATCTCTGAGCTGGGCTGCTCGGAGCTGCTGGGTTCCCTCCAAACCGGGGACCGCGGTGCGTGGCTGGGGTGAAAAACTGCATTAGCAGCCACAGCGGTTAAGTCGCAGAAAAAAGCGGGAGTGGTTGAGGAGCAGCTCTGCCGGTGCCGGGGGCTGTCCTGGGGGCGTTGCAGTTGTTCTTTAGAAAATTTGGAAATAATTATTTAGAAAAATTAAATTCTGCTTCTGCGTGGCCCAGCGTTGTCCCAAATCTGGGTTCTCTACCCGGTGTGCGAGCCAGTGACACCCAGAGCAGAGGTATTTCCAAGTTTATTCCATTAATGTGCAGAAATGGGGTGCTCATCCCAAAACGGGAGCACGCCTTAGTTCTAAAAATGTCCACTTTTATACATTGATTAGTACATATTAAAAAATTGATACATATTCATTGTTATTCTAATGACTGGTCAAGATGTCTTCGCTTCCCATGTAAATTAGCGCGCAGACTCTGTCTTCTTCCATTGCTCTCTTTGGAGTCGGTGGCATCGTTGGGGCAGGTGGTCAACGAGTCGGTGGTCGCGATCTCCCCCCAATGGAATTACCTTTCACCCACTTCTCCTCCGATCTTGGCAGTTGCAGGGGGTTTTCTGGGTTTGCTGACCAGGCCCACGCTTCATCGCTCTCTTGACAGGAACCGCCACTTGTCAACAGCCCTGCGTTGTCTGGAGGTTAGCTCCTAAACTGAGTCACAGATAAATCATGTCCACTTGCTATTTCTCTATTTTCATATTAGGTAAATAATTAAATAGGGTTGGGGCAGTACAGAGGACTTGAGCAGCAGCAGGTTCCCTCGGTTGCTTCAGTTACATTTTACATTTCATTTTCCTGGTTTACGTCAATTTAACTACAACAGGGGGTGTGCAGAAGGCGCGAGGGGCAGCGTTCCTGCTGGGGGTGCCACCGCCCATGCAGGAGGGATGCTCTGCGCTCCCTCGGTGGGACGCGCGTTGGCTTCGGGCCCCGCGAGCCACCCGGCGCACCCGCTGCGAGCGTCAACGTGGCTGC